CCACCCACCCCCGGAGAGATGAGAAGTTGACAGTTAAGTAGTAAGGCACCCCCCATTCAACCCACCCACCCACCCCGAGAGACGAGAAGTGGACAGTGAATTAGTAAAGCACCCCCATCCAACCACCACCCACCCCCGAGAGAAGAGAAGACGAGAAGTATACAGTGAAGTAGTAAAGCACCCCCATCCAACCACCCACCCACCCCCGAGAGACGAGAAGTTGACTGTGAAGTAGTAAGGCAACCCCCATCCAACCACCCATCCACCCCCGAGAGACGAGAAGTTGACTGTGAATAGTAGGCACCCCCCATCCAACCACCCACCCACCCCCGAGAGACGAGAAGTTGACAGTGAAGTAATAAAGGCACCCCCCATCCAACCACCCACCCACCCCGAGAGACGAGAAGTTGACAGTGAAGTAGTAAGCCCCCCCCCCCCATCCAATCAGCCACCCACCCCCGAGAGACGAGAAGTTCGACAGTGAAGTAGTAAAGCACCCCCATCATCCACCCACCCACCCCCAAGAGAACGTGAAGTTGACATTGAAGTAGTAATGCACCGCCGCCGCTAATCTACTAATATTAGCAGGGGTTAATATAGCTCTAGAACTATAGCTATTCGCTCTGCCACAGGCACCTGTGGCAGAGTGAAGGGCTATAGTTCTAGAGCTAGGGTTAATAATGACAATAAGACAACTCGTAAGACAAAATGTAGTGAAATCAATATCCAATACGTGTCAAACTCATTTGTCATTATTAACTCCTGGTATTAGGGGCCGTGCTAGGATATTAGGGGACACGGCTTCGCACGGGATTCGTGTTCTTGGAAGTTAAAGGGAGAGTTTACTCTAAGTTCTAGGGTTAGTTTTCAGCTAATTTAGGTTATAATTACGCTACATAAAAATGGTTCAATCACCTTAGAATATTATTAAAAATGTTTTAAAACTAACAAACTACAGTTTGATTACAACGACGTGGCGCCACTCAAAGCGCATGAATCTGATAAGTTGCGCAAAACCACTTTCCAGCCAAGGCTACAGACGAGGGTTTTCTTATTTATTCATTTTAAAAGCAAAAGGATTGTAATATCTTATAAACGACATATAGTTTCAGTTATAATATGGATAAATTTGTCCTAAAATGGAATATCGTTCGGTTAAATAGCATTTAGGTATAAATATAATTGCACTTTTGTGATTAGCCTCGGTCTGTAACCTGCAAAATAAATGAGCAAATACGCAACTTTTCGGGGTGCAGCACGTCGTCGCGTGTCATGGCGCCGTTCAAATTTCGTAGCGTTGATGTGTAAATAATTATAACAATTAAATTAGGTATTTGGTAACAAATACGTGTTTGGTATAGACGATATGTTACTACAGTAAGTACAGTTGTATGCAGTAAAATCCTAGAGGCTACTGTCCCTTTAAGACTAAAATGCTGCTGGTGTTGTGCATTATAAGCGCGAAGAGTTCTGGGCCGGCCCAACGTTGTTTTTACTCGCCTTGGGCTCGACTGGACGTGTGCGAGTTTTCACATCACTGCATGCCCAGAAGCGCATTGTGTCCCATTGTTGGTCAAAGGTAACGAGGTGGTCAAGCGGGTGTTGTGAAAGTCGGTTCAAGCTGCGTGGTTAGTTACAAATAGAGAACGGATAGAGTACGTAAGTGATTAATGTAGCTGTAGTTGCCTGCGTGCTGCAAGAAAGCTCTAAATAATGAGTAGAAGACATGGTATGGTCTGGCCAACAATTGCGACACCTCTCGGAAATATGCGAAGCGCAGATAGAAAGTGCAGCTCGTAATGTGCATCTCGTAATGTGCATCTCGCGGGTATATACTCGTGGGAAGAAGGATGAGATGAAATAGCAGTGATCTCTAGTGATCTTTTGACCATATTGTACGTGTAATTTAATCATTTTAAGGTTTGGGATTTATAATATTTATTATTAATTATATTATAGTACACTATAATATAATTAATAATAAATATTATAAATCCCAAACCTTAAAATTATTAAATTTTAATTGATCATGCATTTAAAGACACAAGTTAAGGGAAAGTTGCATTAAATGTTTGGTTATTAGTTCAACTTTTTAATTTACACAATATATATCGTGCCAACTAGCTGGCAAGTGTGGAATAAAGTTTCTTGTGATGATCACTTTTTAAACGAAACGTTTAAAGAAAAGTAAAAGCGTTGCATCCGCTACGGTCGCAATCTAATAAAGAGACATTAGAGACATTTCCCACAAGGTCGCGCAATCGAGTTCCCACTCGAGTGGTGGTGGCAAAAACAACACTTCATCCAGCGATCTCGAGTTTGTAGTGCGAAATTGCCGTCGAGTGCGTGCCGAAGTAAGTGGTCTTCAGTTTGAGATGTCGACCACCTAGAAAGGCCATGAGGAGCTCTCTAGCGCGCGTGCGTTGGGTCTGCAACGCGTGCGTTTCCGTGGCCACACATCGTCCGGTAAGCGCGAGCGACGAGAACGAGGCTAGGCGAGAATAGGTGAGTCGCCACCGACGCCGCCGGTCACACGGTTTGCGCAGCGAGTACGTGTTGTCGTCGACGAGTGCATTGTGGAAGGTGCCGGACGTGGCGGACGGACGTGACGCGGTCGGATGGATGCGACGAATCGCGAGCGAGTGCGACAATGGGATGCTGCCGCAGAAGCGACCACCACCGCTGCCAGTGGTCAAGTTCAGGACCGAGTCTTCTCCAGGAAGCTGTTACTGATGCCAGAGTGGTTGACAGCTAAGAGAGTGGTCTGTGACGAATCTTGCTGCGTGGTTCCTGAGCTAAGCCTGTTCTAAACATCGGCATTCGAGGGATCGGTGGTTGGAGCTACTGTAGTGTCACATATCGGAATCGTGGGAGATCGGGGGAGCGTCGCGGCATGCACACTGACCGACGCAGGCAAGGAGCGAACGACACGAGAGATTGAGGGATCATCGCGGCACGCACGCTGACCGACGCAGGCAAGGAGCGAATGACACGAGAGATTGAGGGATCATCGCGGCACGCACGCTGACCGACGCAGGCGAAGAACGGACAACACACGAGAGATCGAGGGATTATCGCGGCGCGCACGCTGACCGACGCAGGCAAGGAGCGAACGACATGTGAGATCGAGAGATCATCGCGGACGCACGCTGACCGACGCAGGCAAAAAGCAGACGACACTCGAGATCGAAGGATTTTCGCGGCACGCATGCTGACCGACCCAGGCAAGGAGGCAAACGACACGTGAGAAGCGAATAACACTCGAGATCGAGGGGAGCGGCACGGCACGCATGCTGACCGACACAGGGGAGAAACGGACGACACGTGAGCATGGGCAGCAGCGAAAAGCACAGGAGTACGGGCTCACCTACCAGCAGGCGACTAGCATCTACAGTAGCAGCAGCGACCTGCAACAGGTATATAGGGTGATCCATTAGGAGTAAAATCTTAATCCATTAATGGTTAGGGTTATGTTATAGTTAGGTTAGGGTTAGGATTATCAATCATTAATCATTAATCATTGAATCATTAATGATATCAAAGTGGGAACACTCCTAATGGAGCGTTATTCGCGTATATCATGCCTTCATCAGCATGCTTACAACATGCTCCCCCTCCCTCCCCATCCTCCTCTCTTCACAGAATCTGCCTCTAGGCAACTCGTTATATGGATGCGATTTCTCCTGCGAAATGCCCGTCAGTCCTTGATGTGGCACTGATGTAGTGATACTTGTATGCGGTGCTTTTGTGAGATCATAATGAATCGCTGCCGAGTAGTTATTATACGAGTAATGGAGTAGGAATATTCTTGAGGATTTTTTAATGCAAAAATGTTAGCGAAGCGAGTCGTGAGTGGGGGGCACTGATTCTTCGCATCGGCGGCGATGATGCGTGAGATGTTTCCGTCAAGTTACGATGCCTCTAGCCACACGCGTCATCTTCAGGGCTGGAATGGCATGTCACGGCCTTCCTGTAATCGACATCCCAATAGATGGCCTTGAACGGGGGAAAACAATTTTGCGTGGCTGATTCTAACATCGCGTGACATTTTTTAAGGCACGAGACTATCTAAGGAACGTCTTTGCGAACTCGTTAAGAGAGAGCTCTCTCGCATGGTGGGAGAATTTCGCTGTTAGTGGAAGAGAACGCCATTTGGCTCTCCTCCTTGACTATATGCCAGAGTAAACAATTTCGAGAAGATGGGTCAATCAAGCGGGTTTTGTACGCGTCTCACGCGAGCGGCACGACAGTCGCCACCACCTCGCGCGTATTGTGTGAGTATAGTGTAAGTGTTGTATAAACTCGCAGCCGGAGTATGGCGTGTGTCACATGCGTACGCGAGGGAAACGACGAGACACGTGCGAAGCGCTGTGTGTGTGGGAGGAAAAGGACTCTGTAAAAAAACACTGTCATCGCATCTGTCCAAGCAAAGGCGCAAGGCTGTCAAGACACCGTGTGGATATGAGCCAAAAATAGTCGAGGCACTGTGCTGACATATAAGCGAAAACTGTCAACGCACCGTGTGGACATGGGACGAAAATAGTACTGTGCGCGACTAATCAAAGAAACTGCCAAGGCAACCGTGCAAGCAGGGGAAAAAACTTGAGACGCCATGCAAACGGTGGCGAAAACTTAAGACAACTGTAAAAAAACAAATGTGAAAACCTGTCAAGACAACCGTGCAAACGGAGGAAAAAAAAACATTCGGACAGACTTGAGCAATTAACAAACAATCAAGTCACTGTGCAAGCAAAGGCAAAAAACAATCAAGTCACTGTGCAAGCAAAGGCAAAAAACAATCAAAGTCACTGTGCAAGCAAAGGTAAAAAACAATCAAGTCACTGTGCAAGCAAAGGCAAAAAACAATCAAGTCACTGTGCAAGCAAAGGTAAAAAACAATCAAGTCACTGTGCAAGCAAAGGTAAAAAACAATCAAGTCACTGTACAAGCAAAGGCAAAAAACAATCAAGTCACTGTGCAAGCAAAGGCAAAAAACAATCAAGTCACTGTGCAAGCAAAGGCAAAAAACAATCAAGTCACTGTACAAGCAAAGGTAAAAAAACAATCAAGTCACTGTGCAAGCAAAGGCAAAAAACAATCAAGTCACTGTGCAAGCAAAGGCAAAAAACAATCGTGTCGACCGTGTTCACGCAAGCAAAAAACAAAAACAAAAAACAACGACAAACCGTCGGGCGCGCCGCGATGGCCATCGCATCGTCCCCGGCGACGGACGGGGCGGGATGCGACGGGAGTGCGACTGAGAAGTTGCCGGCAGCGGCGGCGGAGGAGGATGTCATCACGGAGTCTCCCTATGCAGCGACGCGCGCGAGCTGGTCGGCGTACGCGTACGCGCGCCAGCCATCCCAGCCCCTCCTTCCCGGACTCCGCTCCGGAGACCTGATCCTGGTTAGTCCCTGCTTTAGTCTAATAATAATATCATGGTTCGCACAGTCCTCGAAAAGCCTTGAATTTGATGGGAGAGTCCTTGAAAAGTACTTAGTAAATGTTGATTTTGTGCTTGAAAAGTCTTTGAATTTCCTGAAAATGTCCTTGAATTTTTAGAAAGAATCTTTGCCTGTAATAAAAAGAAATTTTGTACCATCAATAATGTGCAAACCTCAATAAAAATTATGTTAAATGAGCTTAAAAAGCTATAGACATGATAGACAGTTAAATGATGATCACAAATTACAGTAAGTCAGTAAATCAGTCAGTAAATCAAGGTATGTTGTAGAAGTGACAGTGTTTAGAAGGGTTTATTAATGTGATCCAGGTTAGTTTTAGAGGTGACATGCAGTGATTAAGAATGGGGATATTGAATTAATCCAGGTATGTTTGTTCTGTGTATGAATTCCGATAAAATGTCTGATAAAATGTCCTTGAATTTCATATAAAATGTTCTTGAAAAGTTCTTGAAAAAAATTTCAGTCCGTATGAACCAGACTATCCTTGCTGCTGTCTGCGGCGGCTGCCGCGATCTTTTTTGGCTGAATAGCGGCATCGGGTGGGGTCGAATCGCGGGTTAGTCCCCGCTTTAGTCTATTCTCGCTGTGTCTGCAGGGATCTAGGTGGGACTCGACTGTAGTTCTCTGAGCTGTGCACTGACTCGCGCGCGGTAATTTTTTTGACTGAATAGTGTCACCGGATGTGGTAGAACTGATAAACTATGCATAAAGCCTCTGTTTTTCGCCCGTTCAGTGCTTTCCAGGGTGCGGCAGCTCCGGTTGTGATGGTTTAGCTTGGAACGTATAATTGTGAAAGGACATCATTTGTAGTCATTTACAGGAAGCTAACATTACAGCTGACTGCGACTAGCAGACTGACAGTATCATGAGATTGGGAAGCAGGGTGATGTGACGCAATATGAAGCAAAGAGAGATGGTATAGAGGCCATGAAAACGAACAAATTGCCTGTGAATCTTGTGGTTTATTTGATGAAATTACGATCTGTTTAGTTATTCATATTTGCCTGTGATTTTGGGTGATTGCCCATTTTACGTGATCGTTTTATTCTCGTATCTTTGTTCTCGTGTCCCTGTCATGGATGTGATGCCAGCATGACAGTACGGCACAGGTCAGCGCTGCGATAACATCGGTGATACATGCGTTGCTCTCGCTCTCTCTTCAGGAAATCTGGGGCTACAAGAAGCACCGAGTAAAACACATGCTGACATGGATGGGAATCGTTCTCACGCTGGGCATGCTGCGGCTCGTTTTCCACTGGCTACCGCAGTACTACGTGAAGGCATCGCATCAGCAGTGCCCCCTTGAGGAAGCCGAGAAGATTTTACTCAGGGTGAGCGGCGTGATTTGCGACCTTCGCTAACGTCGTCAGACGTAAGCCGTGTGTTTGCGTATAGGTGCTCAGAGCTGGGTGCTGTCTGGTAGCGATGTATCATTGTTCCAAGTAACCGAGAGCTGTAACTAAAATGTTCCTAATATCTGCCGTGGCGAACAATTGTTCTGTTCTGGCAGGTGAAAGGTTATACGTCGAATGATAGAGATCTCCGATCATAGATAAAATAAAAATATACATCATATTTTCCTATTATATATATCCTATATGATCATATTTCCTATATATCATATTAACTCCAATCATAGAACGCCGTGTTATTACTGCATGACCAAGGTCATCACTCAGCTCATCATAGAAGTTAATATGTTTTCTAAAAATAACAACGATAATAGTAATAATCATAATAATAATAATCATAATAATGGTAATAAATAAGCATAGTAAATACTAATAGTAATAATATTATAAGTAATAATAAAGTAATCAAATGCTTTCCTCTATGCAGGATCAACATTTCCAGTGGTTCATTCATGACGTGCACATCATTACACCTCCCGAAGATCCGAGCAGGTAACAAACGAAATCGTCTCGAAAAAAAACTAAATTTGCAATTAATTTCAGTGAGTTGGGAGTCATTTAAAGTTTTTCGAGATCGAGATCGCGAGTAATCATTTCCTTCGCTATTTCTCGAATCATGATTGTGGCAGTGGAGTGTAGAGTCAGGACGACACTGCTAGCGGCCTTCGTCTTGTCGTTGTCGGCGTGTTTAGTCGGTCTTGGGGCAAGCGATGAAGCAAGCTGACCCGTGCGTAGACGTAAGGCGTTCTTGCTTAGATCAGATCCTTTATTGAAAGTCGCCTGCAGCTCCGTGGTTGACTATGAAACATCCGGAGGACGCAGCATCGCGATGCATTGGCTTTAACGCTGGCGATTTCGACGACGAAATTACGGGTGCTAATTCAGAGTCTTTACCGATTTTCTCGGTCTTTCTATCGATTCTTCTATTTTTTTTCGCTAGCCGCCACTCAGCCGATGTGAGCCTGCATCAGATGGGGGAGGTGGCTCATAAGCCTTACCTCGTGGTCCCAGGCAAACAGGTAAGTCGGTTAACTATACACCCACTGTGTTCGGTCATGTCTGGTTTTTCAAGGTTTGGCCAGTTGAAACGGGGGTGGGGGGAGGCGGTCAAGGGCGGCACAAATGCATGTGTGCGTTAACGCACACGTGCCTTTGTGGAATGCTTAGCGGCGTTTAGAACTGCCTCGCGGCAACCCGGGGGGGTTACTTACCGTGATATAGGGGCATCTAGCAGTGATCAGTACCTAACATTAATGAATGAGGTTGCGAAAGACTAGCTACTGTCTGAAAGGGGTTTAAAACCATCTTAGCTTGCTTACATTATCGATGACGTGATTCACATTTAAATGTGGCATTTTATAAACCCAAAAGGGAATCATTATAAAGCTTGTCCTCTGGCATTCCCCATTGAAACGCTGCATATTTACTATTATAAATATTTTTCTTCATTTATTATTTATTTCTGTGTATTATGTGCAAGAGAGCAGAATCATTGTGGGAAATTACGTTAATCAGTGGGAGGACTCAACAGCTGATGCGTTGGTTATGCGCGTAATAAACATAAATAATTTATATTTCTTTAAAATATTTTTTTAGTGTATGTTCACTTATTTCAAAATTTCATTTTTGCTACATGATGGGATATTACAGTGGCAGTTAATAACAGATTTATTCATTTGTGCTTGCAGTTTGACTACCGTTAGTTATGTCACAAATATATGTGTACAAGATATGCTAGTCACCGGATAAGAGTTCATAGTAGTGCATATGTGACCCGTGTCCCGGCTAACGCTCCATTAGGAGTGTCATTAATGATTAATGATTAATGATTAATGATTGATAATCCTAACCCTAACCCTAACCCTAA